CACCCATCCACCCATCCATCCATCCATCCATGCATCCATCTCTTCCTCTCTCCATCCCTCCTTCCAACAACTGCCTATAGCAGTGATGGCGAACCTTTTGAGCTCGGCATGTCAGCATTTTGAAAAACCCTAACTTAACTCTGGTGCCGTGTCACATATAGAAATCTTTTGATATTTGCAACCATAGTAAAACAAAGACTTATATTTTTGATATTTATTTTATATATTTAAATGCCATTTAACAAAGAAAAATCAACCAAAAAAATGAGTTTGCGTGTCACCTCTGACACGCGTGTCATAGGTTCGCCATCACTGGCCTATAGTATGAGGCAGTCCCTGTGCTCAATTCAAGGGAAACAGTGAGCCCTCATCCCCCAGGAACTCATCACTTGTCCTCACCCAGGCCACCAAGGTCCCTGTGAGCACTGTGGACCCTTATTCCCCATGTGACCTCAGCCTGCTCCCCTGTCCCCCAAACTGACCCTCTGTCGCCCTCCCCCAGGCCCTCCAGGAGCGCCGGGCCCGCTGTGAGACACAGAACACAGACCCCGTGGTCTGGACCAACCAGCGGGTGCTCAAGTGGGTGCGAGACATTGACCTGAAGGTGAGGGGTGACGGCGGGTGTGGGGGTGACTCAGGCAGATGCAGACCCCATGCACGTTTGTGTGAGCGGGGACATCGCTACCCCGGCTGGCAAGAACAAGCTGCCTCCTGTCACTCAAGAGGAGGGGACTACAAACCCCGCCCCCACAATGGGCCCCAGTGCCGATGCCCTCCTCACAGAGGGTGAGGGATGCCAGCCATCCTCACTCTCTGGAGCAGGCGCGGGTTGACTCCAGGCCCATCGTCTCACTCGAGTACGTGTGGGCTGCCTGCCGCGGTCTGGGAGAGTCAGGGACAAACTGGCCTCGGCCACTGCCCTGCTGGCCCTAAAGAGGGAGAGTGGGCTTCCCTCAGTGTGAAATGACTGGGTCCCCAAGGGACCAAGCCACTGGGAGCGAGGGCCCCCTCCAGCCAGCAGGGCGGGCCCCCTCAGCAGCAGGGTGGCCCCTCCGGCTAAGCAGCCTCGTGCCTTGCCCCCAGGAGTATGCAGACAACCTGACCAACAGCGGGGTCCATGGCGCCGTGCTGGTGCTGGAGCCCACGTTTACTGCCGAGGCCATGGCCACCGCCCTGGGCATCCCCAGTGGGAAGCACATCCTCCGGAGACACCTGGCGGAGGAGATGAGCGCCATCTTCCCCCCGGCCACGTGAGTGTGGGCAGCCTTGCCCCGGGGCGCGGGGGCAGGTGCCCCGACTCCCCATCCGGGCCCTCGCTCACGGGGTCCCGCCTGCCCCTGCAACAGGGGCGGGTTGGTCTCCTTTCATAGGGTTGGAAACGGGCTCAGAGAAGCGAAGTGCTTTAGCCCAAACGTCACGGACTAGAAAGAGGTGGAGTAAAGTGTGTGGGTACATCCCCACGGCCCCGGGCATTCGGAACGGGGAGGACGGAGAGTGTGCGCAGAGGCCCCCGGGAGGGGGGTCTCAGCTGGGGCAGGGATGCCTGTGGGGACAAAGGCTTGGAGAAGGGGCTGGGCATCCGAATGGTGTTTATGGTCCAGGTGAACAGACCTGGCCAGCCACCTACCCAGTCTCCTCATCAGAAAAGTGACCAAGAACAAACACCCAGACGGGCAGGCTAGCGCCTCCTAGTGGATGCTCCCCGCAGGTGACTGCAGCAGGTCAGACCCTTCACTGAGCACTGAGGTCTGGGCTGCAAATGCTCACTAGGCCGTGTCAAGCCTCCGAAGAGCTCCGTCTGGTGCTGGTTTCTTCCTGACGCATTTGTATTTCCATCCGAAGGAGCCACACGGCGGGATGGCAGCTGCTGTGGGAGAACGAGGGGGATATTCCGGCGCAGTGGTGGCAGGGCCAGGCACGGTGTAGCAGGGCTGGCCCAGTGCCCCTATGTGCACCGCAAAGGCAGGCACTTCCCCTCAGGACACTCGGCTTGTAAAGGCCAGAGGTGCTTCCCGGGCTCCATTGTACGGATGAGGAAACGGGCCCAGCGAGGTCATCGGCGGCACGAGGGCACAGCCAGGGGACTCAGACCAGGCCTGTGCCCCTCACAGCCCCTGCTGGTCACAGTCAGATGTAATCATAGGAGTCCATCCTGGTGCACCAGCCGCTCTGGGCCTCGTGTGTGTCATCTCATTCGGCCCCAGGACGCCCTATGAGAGAAGTGCTGCGATGATCCCTTACAGAGCACATGGCCCCGGGGACACAGCTGCTAAGGGCCGACCAGGCCACGTGTGAGCATGCGTGTCTCCGGGAGGTGGAGCTGACTAGATCCCCCCCCCCCCCACCACCACACACACACTCACTTGGAATGCGTCTCTCCCCAGCTCCACGGGCATCCGGGAGGCTGAGCGCTTCGGAACGCCCCCCGGGCGGGCCCCCGGCACCCCCCGGGCGGGGAAGGAGGAGAACAGCAGTGGCATCAGGCACAAGGCTGGCCGGGTAAGTGGCCTCTGGTTCACTGAGTCCTGCCGCCTGGGAAGGTCATTTTGTCGAGGCCAGCATGGCCCTTCCCAGCTCCCGTGTTGGCCTGTGGGGGCCGCTGGGCCGGGTCACAGGCGCAGCGAGGACAGAGGCCCCGGAAGTTGCCCCCAAGGGACCTGTGTGATGCAGAAGCCCCACGAGGGTTAGGGGAGTGGCTCCACCTGCAGGTCTCAGCCGCCGCCTCAGCGTCACCTGGGCAGTTGCTTTTCATACAAAGTCTGGGACCCACCTGGACTCCTGAAGCAGAGGCCTCTGGGAGCCACTGACTTGGGGTTTGCGCTCCTGTGACCTGGCCAGTCGCAGCAGGGGAGCCTCTGATGTGAGCAAACCTGTGCGGTTTGGGGCTGATCACACACGCAGACCGCACAGTCCTCGGTGGAGGTGGAGGCACAGGGGGCAGAAGCGATGACCCCAAAATTCTTCCATTCGCTCAGCGAACCCTTGGGGGCGCTAACAGCCTTCCAGGCACCTTCCTACTAGTAAACGTGGGGGGAGAAGCATGAATCAATGACCGCCTTTCTCCTAAGATGCTCTCAGCCCAGAGCGAGCATTCTCATGAAAGGGTGACTCCCCCAAAGGGGGGAAACTGGTTTAGAAAACGCCTCCCTCCTTTTATGTCACTAGCAGAGTGTATCTGCGGTTAATTTCATGGCAGGAGTGTGATGAGGGGAACATGTCTAAAAGGCTTTCTTTACGGGGAGAAAAATGGAAAAAGATAGGATTTACTATTCCTATTTTGTAACTGAGAAAACTGAGTCTCAGAGAGGTCAAGTGACTTGTCCCAGGTCACACAGCTGGGAAGTGGCAGAGCAAGGATCTGAACCCTGGTGTGAGACTCTCTGAAACCCACACGTTTTCCGTCACATGAGGCAGCGCTAGAATATTTCTCCTTGACTCGGGAATGAGGTCAGACCTCATGCGCATGCTCGGACGGCCTCTCCTCCGTACGCCTTCCTCCCACTGAGGAGGAAGATGGGAGATTTGTGGATAATCAGAAAGACTACGTCTGTCCTCACCCTTGGTGACAACTGGTTCCTTCCAGTTGGGAACACAAAGCTCTCTCCTAATGTTAACTCACAAATTCCTCTCGGTCTCCCTGAGCAGTGGAGTATTATTGCTAACTAGAGACACGTGCACCAGTGGGGTCCCTCGGCCTGACCTGTGGGATCGGGCTGAAACCAGCTCTTCGACATACTCCGAGGGGTCCCGGACTGAGAGAAGGCGTAGGCCAGGCCAAGGGACCCCACCAGTGCACAATCAGGGTGCGGAGGGACAGGGGGAGGGCTCTAGGGCATGTCCAGCCCATCTCTCTTAGTCTGCAGCAGCAAGCTAACCTACTGGTTGGAGCATCTGCCCCCTGGTGGTCAGTGCATGTCATAGTGAGCGGTTGACCTGCCTTAGCATATCATTAGCATATTATGCTTTGATTGGTTGAATGGCCGACCAGACGACTGGACGCTTAGCATATTAGGCTTTTAGTATATAGTTTAGGAAAAGCACAGAGAGGTTAGGGAAGTTACTCAAGGTCACACAGCAATTAGACTTGGAGACGCCACACGTCCCAGATCTGAAAATTCCATTCCTTTTCTTCCTGGTCCTGTGGCCTCGTGCTCTCTCCTCAGCTGACCCCTGGGGAAGATAGGACGGGGCTTCAGCAGCAAAGAGCCCGATTTCCATGATGACTACGGCTCCCTCCACAATGAAGACTGCGGGGACGAGGACCTCGAGGGCCGGCCAGAGCAGTGCCGCCTGGAGGGCTACAATGGCCTGGAGGTCACCAACGTGTGAGGAGCCGATGCTCAGCCAGACCCCACACGGGGAGTCACCTGGAGGGAGAGAAGCCGGACGCCATCGCCCCTGTACATAGTGCCCACGGCTGAGGAGGCGCCTCGGTCCCGGGGAAATCCCACAGATGCTGCAGCTTCAGATGGGAGCACAGGGAGCCAGGAGGCGCCCGCCGGGGACGTCCCGCTCAGCGGAAGGGCGCTGGCCCCAGGACCTGTCACATGCCAGCCCCTCCATCACCCAGGCTCCACCCCAGAGTGACTGACTGTCAGCGCTGTCCTGGCTGCCAAGGCGGAAAGGGGCCCCGACGCCCCATCGGGAGGAGCAGGTGGGCTCCACGCAGACATGCAAGCCCCACAGGAACAGGTCAGCAGGCAAAGCCCAAGGTTGACCCGTCAGCAGGGGACCCTCCAGCCAGCGAGGCGGCAGGAAAGGCTGCCCACGGCTGAGATGCCACACGGAGGGAAGGCGCAGCCCAGCATCCTCGCCCCCGTGACTGAGAGCCTGGGTTCCCTGGGGGGTCGCTGAGCCACTCTTGGGAGCAAGCGGAACTGGGAAGTCATTGTCTCTGCCCCTAAAGGCCCGGTCACGGGGGG